GTGACCAGGGTGGAGGGTGGCGACTGTGGCCAGGGTGGAGGGTGGTGGTGACTGTGGCCAGGGTGGAGGTGGTGACTGTGGGCCGGGTGGAGGGTGGTGGTGGTGACTGTCCCAGGTGGAGGGTGGTGGACTGTGGCCAGGGTGGAGGGGGTGGTGGTGACTGTGGCCAGGGTGGAAGGATGGTGGTGTAACCTTTTCTACTTCCCCATCCCCCTTCCTCCTTCTCCTCCTCCATCTCACCGCTACCCTTTTCTCTCCTCTTTCTCCTCGTTCATCTCCTCTTCATTTATCCTCCCTCTTCCTCCTCCTCTTCTCACCCCTACCCCTCTCAGCATCTTCTCCCTTCCTCTTCCTTCCCAACCTCTCTCCTTCCTCCTTTTCCTTCTGTCTTCCTTATTTCCCATAAAGGAGAAAAGGAAGAAAGGAGAAACGTAGGACAATAATAATAATAGTAAGAAGAAGAAGAAGAAATAATAATGATAGTAATAATTAGGAAGAAGAAGAAGAAGAGGAAGAAAGAAAGAAAAGAAGAAGAAGAAGAAGAAGAAGAAGAAGAAGAGGAAGAAGAAGAAGAAGAAGAAGAAGAAGAAGAAGTCAGGGTGTATTAGAATAAGTTTGACAGGAGTCTCCAAGCTTCACTAATCCTCTACAAACATGGCCACCGCGATCTATGTTTACTTACTGTTAATTCTGGTCAGAGAAATGGGAGTGGGGAGGAGAGGGGTGGGAGGTGGGGAGGGGGGTGGTGGAAGTGGGGAGGAGAGGGGGTGGGAGTGGGGAGGAGAGGTGGGGAAGAGGTGGGAGGGGGTGGTGAAGTGGGGAGGAAGGGGTGGGAAAGTGGGAGGAGGGGTGGGGGAGAGTGGGAGGATGAGGGGTGGTGAAGTGGGGAGAGGGGGTGGGGAGAGTGGGGAGGAGGGGTGAAGTGGGGGAGGAGAGGGGTGGGGAGAGGTGGGGAGGGGGTGGGGGAAAGTGGGAGAGGGTGGGGAGTGGGAGGATGGGGGTGGTGGAAGTGGGAGGAGAGGTGGAAGTGGGAGGAGGTGGGAAAGTGGGAGGAGAGGGTGGAAGTGGGAGGAGAGGGTGGGGAAGGAGTGGGGAGGAGAGGGGTGGAAGGTGGGAGAGAGAAATATGTGTGAGGAAAATGGGGAGAAAGGAAGAAACGAAGAGGAAAGGGTGGGAAGTGAGAAGAAGAAAGCAATAATGGTAAAGGATGGAAGGGGAATGTGCAAGTGGGAAGGGAAAAGTAATAAGAGGAAATGGAGTGTAAGAAGGAGGAGGAGGAAGGAGAGGAGGAGGAGGAAGAAGAAGGAGGAAGGAGAGAAGGAGGTAAAGGAAGATGAACTTGAGATCCATGACAAGTTTCAAGAAAATACTCCCAGGTACTTCATTACACACACACACACACACACACACACCTTTCACCCATTCGTATTCCTGAGATTTTGGGTGTACAGTACAGGTGTTGGTGTACAGTACAGGTGTCTGGTGTACAGTACAGGTGTCTGGTGTACAGTACAGGTGTTGGTGTACAGTACAGGTGTCTGTGTAGTACAGGTGTCTTGTGTACAGTACAGGTGTCTGTGTACAGTACAGGTGTTGGTGTACAGTACAGGTGTCTGAGTGTACAGTACAGGTGTTGGTGTGTACAGGTGTTGGTTTACAGTACAGGTGTCTGGTGTACAGTACAGGTGTCTGGTGTACAGTACAGGTGTTGGTGTACAGTACAGGTGTCTGATGTACAGTACAGGTGTCTGGTGTACAGTACAGGTGTTGGTGTACAGTACAGGTGTCTGGTGTACAGTACAGGTGTCTGGTGTCTAGTACAGGTGTCTGGTGTACAGTACAGGTGTCTGGTGTACAGTACAGGTGTCTGGTGTACAATACAGGTGTCTGGTGTACAGTACAGGTGTCTGGTGTACAGTACAGGTGTCTGGTGTACAGTACAGGTGTTGGTGTACAGTACAGGTGTCTTGTGTACAGTACAGGTGTCTGGTGTGTACAATACAGGTGTACAGTACAGGTGTCTTGTGTACAGTACAGGTGTCTGGTGTACAGTACAGGTGTCTGGTGTACAGTACAGGTGTCTGGTGTACAATGCAGTGTCTGGTGTACAATACAGGTGTCTGGTGTACAGTACAGGTGTTGGTGTACAGTACAAGGTGTCTGGTGTACAGTGGTGTCTTGTGTACAGTACAGGTTTTTGGTGTACAGTACAGGTGTCTGATGTACAATACAGGTGTTGGTGTACAGTACAGGTGTCTGGTGTACAGTACAGGTGTCTGGTGTACAGTACAGGTGTCTGGTGTACAGTACAGTATTTAGTGTAGAATTATGGTTTTTAGTAGTGTGTGATGCAGCGGAGGAATGATTTGTTTGATGGTGATTCATTAGTGAGGGTTACCTGTGTGTGTGTGTGTGTGTATGGTGTATGTGTGTGTGTGTGTATATCTGTATGTTAATGTATATGTACGTGTAAATGTTTCACTTCTATGGACGTTTCAATTATTTACCAAGAAAACATAAAACAAACATTTCATCATCTTAGATCAATCTTAAAAAAAAAATAAATAAAAAATAAACATTTGGCCAGCCTTGGTGACAGTCAGACCACCAGCAATAAAGTCTTGATAATGAGATCGTAGAGCAATAAGGTCAGTCCTGTCCTGGCCAGTGAGGTCAGGTCCTCATTAGGTGAGAGCTCGACTCCCCTTCAGCTCCAACACACATAATAAACGACACATAATCTTCCTCTCCTTATACACCCACTCCCGCCATGGCCTTCCTCTTGTCGATGGAGACTTTATCTTTCTTCCGGTTCAAGGATGTTTATACACATCCTTAAACATTTATCAACATCTCCAAACACTGATGTTATTTTTTGTGGGTATATTTAGTTATTATTTGGCTTTGTATATATTGTAATACTTTTCTATCAGTTAATAATTGACTTAATTTCAAATATTAAACAAAAAGACGATCAGATGTAATGTTTTGTGGATGTAAGTCACTTTATATTGAGTTCGAGCCACTGTTTAGCTTTTGTAAGAGGTTCAGGAGCATTTCAAGAGTTTGTTGTGTTGTTTCGATCGACTGTCGGGTTTAGGAGTGGACGCAATAGATGTTTTAGGGAGGATCCAGGGCCATGTGAAAAATTCTATGAGATTATTAATTTTATAAACATTTGCTGAGTGTGTGTGTGTGTGTGTGTGTGTGTGTGTGTGTGTGTGTGTGTGCGACCAACTATTGTCATGGTAACGGTTTGAACAATGATAACACTTTTCTTTGAGGAGAAGGATCAAAAACGATGACATGAGACAATCTTCTGCGGTGACTACATTAATTTACAGTAACACTCTCACCCAGTTGGATATTTACCCGCCATGGTACAGGTTTGCGGACACAGTTTCATCTTCTCGAATCTATTATTATTATTATTATTATTATTATTACTGGAGGCAGGTTCACACTAACCCTTGTACCCAGCAGTAAGTGGCTGCACTATCAGGTGAGACACTATGACCCAACAGGTGAAAGATTTTGACAACTACTGAGACAACAGAGTCGCGGTGTTCACTTTGAAATTCATTGATCACCAGTAAAGATACTTTTGGCTCGAGTGTACACATGACTACATACACACAACACAACACACTAAAAACACACACACACACACACACACACACACACACACACACACACACACAATAATATGACAGGTTTACCCAAACACACCAGGATTATTCCAGGTTTAAATATGTGGTTTATTTTCCTCTTGTCTTGTTATTATGAATGTAGAATAAACAAAATTAAACCAGTTTTCGATGTCGACCTGTGATAAAATAACTTAAGTCAGGTATTGTGTGCAGGTGGGAGATAAAACTGTGAATGAGTAGTACCTGGAGAACACAGGTGAGATTTACTTAATTAGCACAAGGAGACAGGAGATAGTCATAGCTAATTAATACCTGGGAAAACGCAATTAGATGTAAGGTGTAACCTAAAATTATACCTGGGAGAACACAAGATACAGGTGAGGTTTAATTGGTATTTACATAGAAAAACACCAGAAATTAAAATAAGACCAATTAATTTTTTTGCCATATTGTGAAGATAAATATTTTCCTTTCCTCTTCTCCTTTTCCTCCCTCTGCCCTCTTCTTTTCTCTTTTCCCTCATCTTCCCTCTAGTTGTCCCTCCTGGATCATAACATTGTCCTGGGTCAGCCAAGCCTAACCTAACCTAACCTAACCTAACCCTAACCTAACCTAACTAACCTAACTTTCTTCACAAGAAGCTTCACATTAACTCATATATAAGACAACATTTCAATTGGGTCTGTTTTTATCTTTAACTAAATATTTCATACAGATGTTATATAATAGGAACCAACACACACACACACACACACACACACACACACACACACACACACACACACACATTTACATTGACTCACCCAGCAGAATTAAAACAACAGGATTACAACAACAGTAATCTTCTACCTGGCAAATTGGATTAAGAGATTTTTTGCGGACCTGAAACTCTCACCGTGTATGCATATGTATACCTAACATTATACCGCATACACCCTCAGCACATAAACAAAAAAACAAAAAAAAACATTACTAACAATCTGGGATTATTACACACACACACACACACACACACACACACACACACACAGACTGAGAGTTTGAGAGAAAGTAAAAAAACAGGGTTGTGAATATATAAAGCAATTAAAACACTGAAGTAAACACACAATATGATAACTTGGTTCTGTTCTGAGGTTGTTTATGATCTTGCCGTGTAAACACTTTGTCCTTCAGGCAATTTACCCAGCAGCCAGAACCCTTTATGTTGGCTCTGTGGCTCACTGGCTGGGTGGCTCGCTGGCTGGGTGGCTCACTGGCTGGGTGGATGGTTCGCTGGCTGGGTGGCTCCTGGCTGGGTGGCTCACTGGCTGGGTGGCTCACTGGCTGGGTGTGGCTCACTGGCTGGGTGGCTCACTGGCTGGGTGGCTCACTGGCTGGGTGGATGGTTCGCTGGCTGGGTGGCTCACTGGCTGGTGGCTCACTGGCTGGGTGGCTCACTGGCTGGGTGGATGGTTCGCTGGCTGGGTGGCTCACTGGCTGGGTGGCTTCCTTGTAGCTTGCTGGGGCTAAGTGTGGCTGCTGGTTGGGTGGCTCTGCGTGGGTGGCTGGGTGGCTTCCTTGAGTGGCTTGCTGGGTGGCTAAGTGGCTGCTGGTTGGGGGCTCGCTGGCTGGGTAGCTTCGTGAGTGTGCCTGGGTGGCTAAGTGGCTGCTGGTTGGGTGGCTCGCTGGCTGGGTGGCTTCATGAGTGGCTTGCTGGGTGGCTAAGTGGCTGCTGGTTGGGTGGCTCTCGCTGGCTGGGTGGTCGATGGGTGGCTCGCTGCGTGGGTGGCAGGATGGAACCTCTTCATCTTGTTGTGGTTGAAACATCATCTTACCTGGAGCCTTATCTTGTGACTGATTTATATTATATAGATCACTTAACCTGACCTGACCTTTACTTAACTGACCTGCCCTTTAATTAACGTTTCTTGGCCGGTATCTATTTAAAGGAAGGTGATTGGTCCAGTTTATTAAGTCTCGAAGGTGATTGGTCAGTTTACTAAGTCTAGGAAGTGATTGGTCCCTTCTTAGTGGTTTCAGCCTAATGAACCCCTTATACTTAACCATTATTAGGGATGTGACATATGTCCTGGCAGAGTCCCTATATCTAATAGGCTCCTTCCTGTACTAATGGCCCTGTAATGGCCCACGGTAATAGCACAGTGATCATATAGGATTTTTAAAGTAAATTAAGAGTAGGACAGGTAGGATTGAGGCTATCAGATCAGAGCCATGGGAACAGGATAGCATAAGAGCCAATCAGAACAGACCCCTTGACCTCCATGCCTGGTCATACACTAAGATGATTAAACACAGGTGATATTAATGCACTAACTCATGACACGACCCACAACAACAACAACAACAACAACTTTCCCATCCCATAAAGGCGGCTCCAGTTAGTGTGATGGTGTATAGATCACACACACACACACACACACACACACACACACACACACACACACACACAAACACATACACATACACACACACACACACACACACACACACACACACACACAAGACACAATACATACACACACACACACACACACACACACACACACACACACACACAAGACACATACACATACACACACACACACACACACACACACACACACACACACACACACACACACACACACACACACACACACACACACACACACACACACACACACACACACAGACACACACACACACACACACACACACACACACACACACACACACACACACATACACACACACACACACACACACAGACACACACACACACAAGACACACACACACACACACACACACACACACACACACACACACACACACACACACACACACACACACACACACACACACACAGTACATCATTTGTGGACGAGGAGAGTTATGCATTAAAACCCACATTAATGAGTTGGGGGTAATGTGGGAGGGAGGGAGGAGTTGGTGATGAGGGAGGAGGAGGGTGTGGTGATGAGGAGGGAGGGAATTTGGGGGTTGAGGGAGACGGGTTGGGGTTTGAGGGAAGGGAGGTTGGTGGTGATGAGAGGAGGGTTAGTGGAAATTATGGAGTTGGTGGTTGGGTTATATTGGGTTGGGTTAAGTTGGGTTAGGTTGGGTTAAGTTAAGTTAGGTCAGGTCAGGTTAGGTTAGGTTAGGTTGGGTTAGGTTAGGTTAGGTTAGGTTCTGGGTAACTCACATCTAACTGACATATGCAAACAATGAGCCACTACTTGTAAGCTAATCAAATTTACACTTTACAAGATTCGTGATATCCGCCGTTTAGAAGCAGATATCAACATTATGGCGTTTTGTGAACAGATGGTACATTTGTTTTACCCACTATATTTTATCATACACAAAATACACCCATCGTGGCTACCCCATGCGACTACACCCATCATACGCCGACTACACCCATCATACCAAACTACCATCATACACCATTACACCCATCATACCAAACTACACCCATCATACGCCGACTACCACCCATCATGCACCAACTACACCCATCATACCATTACACCCATCTTTACCAACTACACCCATCATGCACCGACTACACCCCATCATACATTCTACTTCCATCATGCACCGACTACACCCATCATACACTAACTCACCCATCATACCGACTACACCCCATCATACACAGACTACTCCATCATGCACTAACTACACCCCATCATACACACTACACCATGTACCGACTACACCCCATCATGCATCGACTACACCCATCATTCACCAACTACACCCATCATACACCATACACCTCTGCATGACCATCATGCACCGACTGCACCCCATATACAAACTACACCCATCATACACAGACTACACCATCATACCTGTACCCCATCATACACCAGATACACCCATCATACACCGACTACACCCATCATACAAACCACCCTCATACACACTACACCATCATACACCGACTACACCCCCATCATACACAAACTACCACCCATCATACTGACTACACCCATCATGCATCGACTTCTCCCATCATACACCGACTACACCCATCATACACCGACTACCCCATCATACACCATTGCACCCATCATACACCGACTACACCCATCTTACACCACACACACAGGCACAGCCACAATCCTCCCCCCTCTCCCTCCCCTCCCTCTCCCTCCCTCCCTCCCTCCCTCCTCCTCCTCCTCCTCCTCTCCCTCCCTTCCCTCCCTCTCCTCCCACAAGACCATCTCCCTACACCTTTTTCCCCCCAGGTGAGTCTCAGGGTCTGACGAGCAGTTGTGTATTTACCGCCGGCAAACACTCACCCAGCAGAGTTTTACCAGCCTGAGCAGGGCTTCCAGTAGCTCTTCTCTCCCTGGGTGCTGGTGAACGCTTCGCCACCTCCTCGTCTTCCAGCCTACTTCTCCTTGCCTTCTTCTTCTTCTTCCTCCTCATTCTTCTCCTCCTCTCTT